CGTTAACGTTAGGCATCTGCACATATAATGGAAGCAGGCCTATTCAAGGTCTCAGCGTTTGTTTTAGAATATTCAACGGCAAGGGTTTATATGATCTAATGGGAATGCAAAATGCAGCATCCTCTCGCACGTGCTCCTTCGTCCGGTACCATTTAGCAGGAAGAAGTTGCGTTCTTGACCACGCCTCGCTTCTGGCGCATGCTTTCAAGTTTCGAGTTCCATTCTCCGGAATAAATGTGGATTACACCTGCCACTGTCAGCTGGCAGTAGTTGCCCGCCTGCTATAAAATGCCGTGAATGCAAAGTTGGAAGAATAATTGGGATGTGTTTTCGGCGCGCAAAAAAATTAGAAAAACGGCTGACCCCAAGATTGGTTTCGCCGATTTCATGGAAAACGCCTGAATCGGTCGCTGTTCGATCTAAAGATCGGTACAGTCCTACTGAGAAGTGGTTGACTTATACCAAATATGTGCATCTGTTTGGTAATTGAAACTGTTTATAGTTTCAAGAACTTTCTTGAAAAATAAAAGTCACAAGGTGCGAGCGGTTAACAATGTATACTAAATCCTCTAAGACAGATTTGCTCAAATATTTTGGGTTCAAGGGGCCACATTGTCTATATGCCGCAGGTCTACGGGCCACAGACCTAAAGAACTTAAGGGGGATTACTGGACAGAAGATCGGAGTGGGAGGAACTCCGACTGAGTCAACCCCGTACTACAATCCCTACCCTATAATCCCACCAGTACCACCTGTCATTTCAATTTCTAAAAATTTCCGTGCAGACCGCACAGACATACTGCAAGCGCGCATGGGGCCTGTTGACCACGCTTTGGGCACCCCATCTCTTTAGAGATTCAATATTCCCATCGTCAAATTGAAGCCCCAATGTTATGGATCAATTGTAAGTTAAATTTGACTATTGTACTGTTTTCCATAAGGTCTAGAGTGATGCTTAGAATTGTCTATTGGGTGGGTCTTCGAGAATCCACCAAAATTGTTAAGGCTCTCATGGATTGAAGGTTATTATTATGCTTCTTCTCTTCCTCCTTTCAGATATGCGCTACTATAAAATGGATCATCCCTTGCGAGGAAAAGCATTAATTTTTAACCAAGAAAAGTTCCTGATCGGTCTGCCAGAGCGAACGGGTACTGAATTTGACAGGAATCGTCTAGCAAGGATTCTGAAACAGTTAAAATTTGAGGTTATTGTGTATGAAAATCATAGGCATCAACGTATTCGAAGTCTCATTGAAAAAGGTAAGGATTGTCATTTTTGCTTGATAAATATGGTGTTCATGAAAAATTTACCCATTACAAAAGGTGCGAGGGGTGATCAAACATTCTAAAGCATGCCAAAATTTTTATCTTGCTTGTAAATTGGAGAAAGATTCTGTAAGTTATTTATTTCAATGTGTTAATGAAGGTTCCGCCGAAGGAATATTAAAATTAAGACGAATGATGAGTCTAACCTCTATGGAGCCGATCTCCTGGACGATCTTTTCAGCAGCTAAGAGTAAGAGGATAGAGTAATACTGACCCTTTTCGTCATCACTCTCGTACATGACTTCCAAAGAAGCCATAGAGTGCTGTGAAATGTGTGATGATGTGCGCAATAGCAATTTTCTAACAGAGCAGGAATCAACAGCATCAAAGACAGGTGGTACTAGTTTCAATGAAATATCTTTTAAAATATGTGGATAGGATGGGCTGGCTCCTTCCCTTGCTCTCCACTCCTGCCCCCTTCCCTGTATTTTCATTTAAACTTTAATGTGAATGCCACAAAGGTTAATACTGTGGTGTTTTGGCACTTTTATTTCTGGTACACTTTCCCTGTAAAATCTCAATTAACTGTTTTAATGCTGTGAGATTTGTAAATCTCAATCTTCTAGAAGTCACCTGACAAATTCTTTGTACTCAGAGGACCTGATGAAGCTCCAAAACCAAGTATTTAGTGGGTCAATTCAGGGGAGTCAGTGACCACAAGAATAGAGCTCTATCCATATGTATTTCCATGAACAAGTCAATGCTATGGTCACCTGTCCTCCCAATTAAAAATTAAATCACTACATAGGAAACTTGATGGCATACTTATCATCATTATGCATTTTATGGTAAGGCTTCATCATTGTTTCCAAACAATGATAAAGCCTTACCATAGTCAGGCATGAAAGGTCTTATGGGCACCTTAAATATAATCTTAGCCATATTATTGTGTGGGTTTATATATATTCCTTTTTTTTTCCATTGCCAGTGGCCCTGGAGGATCACGATCAATGTGACTGCATTCTTGTGTGCTTCATGAGCCATGGTGATGAGTACGGGAATCTTTTTGGGAGTGATGGAGCCATCAGGTTTGATGAACTATGGACCCCCTTCATGGATGACTGTTGTCCATCTTTAGCGGGGAAGCCAAAAATTTTTATTATACAAGTTGAGTACTGGCTGAGTCTTTGCCTTTTTCTCAAATTCATGATAGTGTTTCAAAGAACCTCATTAATCATTAATACTCATTAATCCCTAAAGGAATAGAAACTATTGTTTTCACATTTTTTCTTTTTCTCTCTAATTTACATAATGTATTGTCTCCTTAATATTAAGCAGACAAGTATTTTTTTCGCATAAAATTTTTTTTTTCTAGTCCTGTCGGGGTAGTAAAGTGAATGATGGTAATAATGTGATGGAGACAAGGAACTACAGCCAGCCTGACTCCACCAAAGAACTAGGTGCACACTACAACAGCTCCATCCCACCGGACTTCCTGTTTGTATTCTCGACAACCCATGGCACGTTGCTCGCCACATTATTTTCTGGACATTAATGATTCTCCTTCGGGCAGTAATGATATCAGGCAAATGCTTGATTTTGTCTTCATTGAAGGTTATTGTTCCTGGCGGAATCCAACTGAAGGATCACACTTTCTACAGTGCCTATGTGATGTCCTTCAGCAAGGTTCCCAAGATGAAGATCTGTTGAGTTTGTTAGAAGAAGTATCTAAGAAAATTGAAAAAGAATCTTACTATTGTCATGAGTCTGATGGGCAACTGATGAAGCAGATGCCCGATATAAAATATAATTTGACTAAAAAGTTAAAGCTTCACATTCATTAAAATTTATTTAAATTAAATTAAAAATTAAGGTAACAAATTTGATTCCCTTAACATTGTATTCCTTGCTTTTGTTGAAGCATGATTAGTGCTTGTCACTGGAAATTCCAATGAAGTTGTGAATACGAATGTAATTTCTACATGTGTACATACCACAGTATCTACGTCTTTCTTTTCTGTATGTCTGGATCTTGTTATTATATATTTCTGTCCTTTCTGAATTGAGGCAGTCTTTAGGTTGGATTGTAAGTATTTCCCAGAATTTTATGATCCTTCCTATGTTCCTGTTTTCATAGTTACTGGTGTCATGAAATATATCTGTTTTTTGGTATTGATATTGGCTCAATGCTGAACCACCATCGACACGTTGGCTGTACCTAGGCCAATATTGCTAATACCGGCTAAATATCGGCTTTCCAATATTGCTATTCCATCATCGATCAAATTTCGAACCAATACGATGATCCAATATGCCTACGTTGCACTGGAAAGTTTTTGGGGAAAATATCGAAGTTCTCCTCTCGGCTACTTGATGGCTGTATGTGTCTCGCATTTCTCACAGAAGACAAAAGTGTCCCCCCTTTATCCATGGAATCATCTCTCACAGGAGTGTTTTGTGTCTCCCCATATGTCTCTCCTTGCCTCATTGTTGCAATCGATAAACTTGGACACTTCCATATCCTATCCCCATATTCCAGACAGAGTCATGGAGTCCAGGCAAAAAATGGGCTCATATTCCTTATGAGAACCCCATATGAAAGTCTCACGAGGGTTCTTAGCAGGAAGTAGTTTTAGCATAAAACATGATGTTGGCAGGTTCAGTTATCCAATTCCTTAGGGCGGGTGGTGAATTAATAATCTTTATTCATAGAAGGAAAGAAACACGTTGATTCGCGATTCCGACCATCCATGAGATGGGGTTCGGAAAAAAGCCACCCGAGATGAAAATGCGAAAAAGCCACCCAGGTCATTGCTTAATAATTTCTCATTTATATATATTTAAACGTATCAGATAATTAGTCATTCACTTGGCGACCTTAAGACACATTCATGCAGTCATGTGACTGTTATCTATGTTTTTAATATTCAATGAATTGCCACCAATTTTTCAATTAATATATTATTTATTTTTTGTTTCCAATCATTGAGAATGGAAAAGGCAAAAACATCTCTCGATTGAAAGCACTTCTTTAAATCGATTCTATAGAAATATTATTTTCCTACATTCATAATGTAGGGAAGGACTGTCCCGTTATGAACATGGACTTCAACAGACTTAGGGACTGCGGATGGAAATGGGGGTGGGGGCAATGGGCGGTTCAGGGTGGTGGATCGAGGAGGGGAGCTAATCCTGATCCTCTCCACCCCTGGAAAAAGGAGTGAAAGTGGATATGAGGGAGATAAAATAAAAATAAAAACCTTATACGGCCCCAGAGCAATTGTTATTTGACAAAAAATTCCAAGAAGTGCAGAGAGAGTGCAATCATCTCTTCCTGCGACACGGCCAAAATCATAAAATTTCCAGCCATAATATTCATTTTTAAGGAATGGGCTGAAGCTGGACTTTGTGTTATGTTTCATAACATTTCGGTGAAGTTGATCAAATTACACGACATCAATATCACTAAATGTCGCAAAAATGAATGAGTCTTTAATCTGACCTGAACATAACTGGATGGCACTTTTCTGCCTTTGCCTAATCTGGGGGTCTTATTTCCGGGTGGCTTTTTTCCGCCTTTGCCAAATCTGGGGGTCTTATTGCCGGGTGGCTTTTTTCCTAAACCCCTATAATTGGGGTTCGGAAAAAAGCCACTTGGAAAAAAGCTTCCAAGAATTGACTAAAGCAACCCGAAATGAAAATGCATAAAAGCCATCCGGGTGGTTGCTTCGTAATTACTCATTTCTCTATATTCATACATATCAGATAATTAAAGACATTCACTTGGCGATGTTGAGACACATTCACGCAGGGATGTGGCTCATAATTATCCATGTTTTTAATGTTTTAGGGTGAATTTACATCAATTATTCAAGTAAAATATCACTGATTCGTTTCCATTTAGAATAAAACGATGGAAGATGCAAAGCATCTCTCGATTGGAAGCACTTATTTACATTTATAAATAAAAATGTTTTTCCTACTTTCATTATGAAGGGAAGGACTCTGTTCAGTTATGAACATGGACTCATCTCGATGCAATGCTTGAACAGACTTCGGGGGGGGGGGGGGGGGGGGGGGGGGGGGCGAAAGGGCGCCACATGGGGTATTTACGGCCCTGTACTTGATTGAGTAATATCTGTCTCAGAGGGCTTCGCCCTTTGGGGACTTGAATATCCCTATTATAGATTGGTAAATGCCGCGGGGGGGAGCTAATCCTGATCCTCTCCACTCCCAGGAAAAGGTGTGAAAGTGGATAGGAGGGAGATAAAAAAAAACTTACATGACCCCAGAGCAATTGTTATTCGAGAACAAATTCCGAGAAGCGTTCAGAGAGTGGAATCACCTCATCCTGCAACACGGCCACAATAAAAAGATTTCCTGCGAGGGGGTTGGCCATACTGTTCATTTTTCAGGAATGGACTGAAGTTGGACTTTGAAGTTGGGGTCTTTAATTTGGCCCGAACATAACGGGATGACACTTTTCTGCCTTTGCCAAATCTGGGGGGTCTTATTTCCGGGCGGCTTTTTTCCCTAAACCCCTATAATTATAGCACAGCTTTCCTTGCCTTGCGAAACGCAAAGATGTCAATGATATGATCAAAATCCACTTTCTTTGCAGCTTGATTTTATTTTCACTGCGCAAAACTTTTTTCCCCTTTTTTGTGCCTCATTCGCCTTTCGCTTGCTTCGCCCCCCTCCCTTCTCGGCGCCCCCTTCCTTAGGTGACGCCCAGGGCAGGTGCCCCCCTTATTTACGGCCCTGATCAAGTACACTATGCAATGTTGGTTTTCTTGTGGTAATGGTCAACATTGATGTTTTCTGGTCATGGTGGACGGTGGTCAACACGCCAAGTGTTCAGGCCACTTTTAGATTATTACGTAACAATGACCTTTTCTGTTAACACGCTTCCTAATCCTAATATTAATCCTTAGGGCAAAAGGCTTCGTCTACGCAAAAAAGATCTCTCTTAATTTTTTCTTTAAATAACCATATATTGCTATATTATTTCATAGTTTACGCAAGGAAGCTTTCTGGCGTGGAGGAGCCCTTCGGAATAGAGATTTCATCATCTGAGTTTTTTCTTTTTTAGATCTTCAAATTATTAGAACGCGAAAAATTTTCAATAATTCATCATGAAGACTGCCGTTTAACTGGGTGATTTGCTACCAGTGAAAGCTGAGTTACGCTTTTAGGTGAGTATTGATTACTGGTAGCTGTGTACGATCTGTCAAATTGCAGGAGGTGAGGAAAAAAATAAACTCCACAACTCACAAAATGAGATTAACAGATGTTTCGGCCTGAGACTGTCAACTTTTATCGTTAACAAGGCATGTGTGCAAGGGTATCAATCGATTCGCGAGAGGAATACCTTTTGGTTTGTTTTTTTTCCTAACAAGGGTATCAGCAAACTCCGCCTTAGTCAACTTTCTCTTCATAAGATTTTAAACTTTTATTCCCACTTGACACAAGACATACCGTAAGTGACTTTCAACGCTAAACGACTGTGGATCCTATGCGGTGAATTACTGATTCAATTTTTGTAGAGTAGAGAAACGTTTCATTTGTTCGCATATTTGATTTGATAGAGCTGATGGGAGGAATTGGTCACCGTGTTGAAAACGATGAACTTCTTCCGGGAGAAATGAAAGGCGAATCGTTGTCGACTCTTCGCTCTAAATATACTAGCAGAACTATAATTCTTGAATGAAAAAGAGATTGAAAAGGTAGAGACTACGAACGTCGGTTACTTGGGCCATGGGTGTCAGGCATCTCTTGGAAACGAGAATTGGATGGAATGGAGACCATCGAGTGGCGTTACTTCGTAGGAGAACGTCAGGATTAAGCAATTTCCCCCCCAATCATCTGGAATGAGCTTGCACTTGAAAGATTGTCAGATGTGTGGGCCGCATACACTACTTGGAATTAGCCTGGGGGATTGACTCGAAACTGTGAACCACCAGGCAAACTTTATACTAGTATATTCTGTTACCACTGCCAATACTTAGCCAGTTGAAAGCCTGCAGTTTGTGTTGAAGAAGATTCTCCTGAAGATGCATGACATCAACCAAGACCTGCCACATCTGAAGAAAAGGTAGTGGTGCTCAATGGACCAACGCCAAAAATGTTTATCTTTGCTCATTGTGAAATAATTGCCGAGTGCTCGTGTGAAGGCAGGCAGTAGGGCGACGGAAAACAGTATCGCTTAAGTGCTATGACTGAAGGTATGATTCATTTGTTGATGAGGAAATTTGTCAGACAAAAAGTTTCTCAGGTTCTTAATTGGATGTCACTTATATTTAAGCATCATCCCCATAGGACTTGGAAGTGTTTTAAGCATGTTTTAGTGCATAGACCCCTAATGATCAGAATCCAGTCATCTTGTGGAGTATATTCCCAACAAAATTCTCAGTCTTTCTTTCAATATTGCATTTTAAATGTTCATACTATCCAGTGGTGTGCCCAAGGGAAAGGGGGGGGGGGGGGGGGTTGAGGGTCATAACCTGCTCATAACTCTTGGGATAACCATGACCTTGGGATACATTTTACAGGTTCGATTCTCAAAAAAAATTTTGTTGCCATATATGCAGAGTGGGTCACCAATTTTTAAAATGTCAACAATTTCAAATTTCAAATCCCCATTGAGATTTTTTAATCATGCCACTGATACTATCTTAAAACTAACTGAAGTAAGTTCTTCCCTAAGACACCCAAGTTGCTTCTAGCCAATAAAATGACCTCCCCTCCCCCCACATCCTTGCCTATTTCCATCCAAAATGTAAAATCCCTGAGTCTCAAGCTTATTTACTTCAGTTATCTCATGGTTCAGTCATGAAGATGACTTTACAACCAAGTCTTCTCCCCAACAGCTGATCCAGTTTATTATGAAAGCTTTGGGGACTTGTTTAGAAACATCATCCATGATTACCAATTCCTCTGATGCAAGTACATTTATGCACTAAGTTGCTCTAAGTTGAGTTGAAGTCAATCTCTGATTAAATCTTTTTCATCATTGAGTTTAAGTTATAAGAGATGGATCCCTCTGATGTCTTTGAAATGTTCATTTCTCCAAAAGACAGATTTCTCATTGTCTCTTAGCCCACCTATGACGGCTTCCTGACTTCGTGTATTTTGTTTTTGAATAACCTAATTTTCCCCCATGATGTGATCGTGTATGGGAAGGTTTAAACTTTTCACTTGGTTGAAATTGAAGTATTGTGCCCTTTTTGTCATATGACTTAGGGTAGATATAACATTGGGCTCATCCTCAGTCTTCACTGATCATCTTTACAAGAAATTTCAGTGCTGTCCTTCCCTCTGTTTCCTTTTCCATTCAAATCATTATCTTCTAAGAATCCTTTTTCAATCCTGGAGTGGAATGCTTGGAGGACTGTCATGTCATGTCTGGTTGAGAATGGTACTTCATGAAAGGCATGAAAGGAGGGTAATTTTTATGAGAAAGGGGAGCACTGATTTATTTCACATACACTGTCTGTCTATATTACTGACTTTAATTCATTTATCTATGTTTTCTGAGGATTTTGTTTTTGAGTCATCAGTGTAACTTTCAAACGCCATATCCTTCGCATTTTGGAAGATATCTTGTTAATATTTGACAGATAATCATGAGATGCTTATTTAAGGAATGAAGAGGATTTCCTGGTTGAATGATTATGAATTGGTTTTTATTAGGGATGAATACATAATTAGATATCTTTTTTGACAATAAATACAAAAAATATCCTAAAATTGTATTTTTTTCGATTTTCTTATTTTTTTTTTCCCCACAAGCCAAGCATTTTGATGCTATATAACTAATCTTTGGATTTGATAGAAATCCCATGACTGGTTCCTAATATATCTTGCTTTGAAAAACACTCATCATCTGGTTTTGGTGGCAATGTTGATGACTTATTTGCTTAATTTGTTAATTTTTGAACATTTTCAAATACATCACATATTCTTTATTTTGGTATATTTGTTTCATTGACACCCTATAAGACCTCAGAAATAATTTTGCTGGTGGTGTGCTACCTTAAATAGACTATACCTGAAATAATTTTCAAAAAGTACATTTATGAGATTCCTTGGCACTAAAGGTGAAATGATATGCACTTTTTTTTCTAAAAGATTCACACCTGTTTCTTACCACCTCCTGTTCCCATTCCACCAGTACCCGGTCTCCCTTGGGACTGAAGGGGGCAAAAGGTAGTATGAAACCTTATTCAATACATGTTATTTTATAAGAAGAAATGTGAACCATTTTTGTACAAATTACCAGCACTGTGCTCTGTGAAGAAAGTTTGGATAATGGTAGTTCAAGGTCACTATGGGTTCTATTAGTGTTTTTGAAGAGAAAATTTTGCAGTCAAGGTTAGTTTATCTTAAACTATTTTAGTTAGGAGAGATAGTGTAACATGAGTGCATGTTCTTCAAAGGTGTGCCAGGGGTCAATTTTCTTTCATTTCCTTGCATAGCTGCATTCCTCCCTCCCTCATCAGGCCAGGAATGGTGCAAGGGATGAATTTAATTAAAGTTGTTTGCACTGTCAATTTTACAATTTAGTTTAGTACAATTAAGCAACTTTTACAGGTTCTACTTGGGTGTACCAGTCGGGAGCTTCTAGGCTTTATTTTCTGGTGTGTTGTGTTTACCTTCTTCAATGTTCTGACATGTTTTTAAGCTTATGATAAGAGCTTCATCTCTCTTAATTTTGTCTCTTAATAAAAGCTAATATCTCATTCTGTCATTGACCCTTTCATAAAATTAGATTAGACTTTCAAGAGCAGAGAACTGAACATCAAGTGAAGAAAATGAGTCCAACCCCTACAGTAACTCCAGGAGGAAGTCCACAAAGAAGAGTGAAAGGAACAGTTGAGATTATTCCTCCAGATCTTCCTTCCAAATGCACCTGGCATGTTGGAGTTGATCCAAAGTCTACACCTCACCTAGTTTCTCACAAGTAAGTATCTTAATTTAAGCATGAAATACTGTAAACTAGATTACCACCCACCATTGCACATTTTGCTAAGCAATGATCAGATTGCTAGACTTAGCAAATGAAAATAACATGTACTATACATACTAGTAAAGAGTTGCTGCATTATTGCAAATTGGCAAAATGTAAGTAGAGGGAATGTAAGGGAATGGAAACTAGACTTTTCCATTAGGTGAGAGATTGAATGGAACAGTGTCCGAGGCAGTGTCCTGAATGGAAGACACATTCCTTGAGCAAAAGAAAGGTGCTACAATCTTGAAAGTCCATAGAGATTTTCAATTGATGTGGGAAAATCTTTATGGGCTTTCATCATTGCACACTTTTTCCCCAATGGGTATGAGATCAAAGGTGATGTGAAACAAGAGTGCCCTCAGTTACAGTTATCAAAACAATGACAATAACCTGAGAATCTGTTGTGGAAGGGGTAATGGCAGAATAATTTTTTTTAATGTGAATAGTAGGGTATCACATATTATTTGTACCAAAGAAAGCATCCTGTTGAATACTTCATGAAATCATAGGACTGGTTATTTCTTAATTTTTTAGTAGTATCACAAAGCAAACACTTTAAATTGTTCCTGAAAATTTAAAGCATCCATGTTGGTTTGGATGAGAAGCAACTGTCATCAAACCTTCAGTAAGAAAATCCAGCTTTTCTACATATTACACACATGCAGTTTTAGCTCTGCTCAACAGATTTAGGAATGTAGGTCACGAAAAGGGGAAAGGGTATGGAGGAATATGCAACAAAAATAATAATTGGAATATGGATGCACTCAGTAGAGTTTTATATTTAGACAGAATTACATAGTATTTTTTTCTAGCAGTGGTGGCCAGAGAGGTACAAGTGTATTGAAAAAAAAAATTTTTTTGAAAGGAGTTAAAACTCCCACCTGATATTTTTTGCCATTAGTATGGTTAGGGAAACAGAAGAGGGTGTGGAGTTATGGGGTAGCATAATTTTTTAGGCATGGTGGATTGAGTTTCTCCCTTTCCAGACTAGCAAGATGTGCAAAATTCAACAGTCTAGATTTTGGAAATTTTTGAAGGGAAAGAAGTATTTGAGGAGGTCTCTGGAAATTGAGCATATGTGCCCACTCATCCTTTTGCCATATCCATGTCCATGTGCCATTTTTATGTGATTAGTCATAAGATAGGGTGATCAGTTAGTAGTTAAGATGTGTATTCAGCATAGGAGAAGCAGATTTTCCTATGCTCTCACTACATAGCAGGCCAACTGCCAGGCAATTTTAATATGGCTGCCTCCATGAATATTCCATTAGCTCTTGCATGCTGAACGATTTTGGTGGAATTATTTCATCCTTTTGAACTGAAAGTAAAAATGAAGAAACCAGACATGAGGAAAGGGAAAGAAAGAGGCCCAGTTATTCATGCCTCTGGAAGGATGTGAGAAGTTGGAGATATCCATGAAATAGTTGCAGATTCAAATGATGAATACATTAATAATGAATCACTGCTGAGTAATTATTTTTAACTTGGAAAGAAGTGGTGAAAGACTCGGAAAAAGTTTCAGCAGCATGAATGTGGAAAAAGTGCGTATGTGCATACACTTTCTGCCTGCATCCCAGCAATGTGAGATAAAGAAATTAATTAAAACCCCAAATTCAATAGGAAAAAGGTTTATGATATCATTTTACTGAAAATTAAGTTTTGACTAGCTTCAGATTAGCTATGGGAAGTTTTTATCATTAATCTCAAATTGCATCTTTTGCACATATGCCCTTTTTCCAGAGAACTCCTCAATTATAAGCATTGTATGTTATTCTAAGAGTAAACTCAAAATGATGCTAGTTGAGTGATGGGTGTGCATTGCATGGAGAACAGAAATCGATAATAAAGATATTGATTCTTTTGGTTCAGTTTTTTGGAGATAGTGGCTTTTGTATAGTGACTCTGGTGTTATACTTGAGTTTGAGTGCCTTGCAATTTATGTCTCTAATACCACAGCATTACCAAAAATAGGAATTTGTGTTCATGATTGCGTTTTGTGTATAGTTCCATCAAGCAAAAAGAAAAGATCCTCCCGAATGTGCTGCATCAAATTGGCAATACCCCCTTGATCCGCCTGGAAAACTTGGCCAAGAAGTATGACATCAAATGTGAGCTATGTGAGTGTGAGAAGGTTAAAGTACATTTTTATTGATATTGATGTTATGGAGGTCTTGCTCTGAGAAGCTTTCCCCTGTACATGTACACAGTGGCGAAATGTGAATATTTTAATGCTGGTGGGAGTGTGAAGGATCGCATAGCTGTAAGGATGATAGAAGAAGCAGAGAAAGCTGGAAAACTTAAACCTGGCTATACTATCATTGAACCAACATCTGGAAATACAGGTATGCCAGCGGTATGTGAGTTTTCTGTCATTGAACCAGATATTTTTTAATGGAGTAATGTACACTTTCAAACTAACATGTTTTTGAATGGCATTCCACTTAGGGATTGGATTGGCATTGGCAGCAGCAGTGAAAGGTTATCGATGCATAATTGTCATGCCAGAGAAAATGTCCAATGAGAAAGTTGATGTGCTGAGGGCCCTGGGAGCAGAGATAGTTCGAACCCCAACTGCTGCACGATTTGATTCCCCTGAAAGTCATATCACTGTTGCTCAAAGGTTACAGGCTGAAATTCCAAACTCCATAGTGCTGGATCAGGTATGCTGCTCTGATGTACTTTGACATCTACATCAGTGGTGCACAACCTTTTCCCCCTAAATTGAGATTTTGACTTATATTCAAGGATTCGAGGGACTCACAGGCCCTTGAACGTCGAACATGGGCTGAAGTAAGCTGCATATAAATATGAATCTTTAGAGACTGGAGGCATCCAAGGGGCCACAAAAAAGGTCTCAGTTGGGTACATGTGGCCTGCGGGTTGTGCATCACTGGTCTATATAATTTTTTTTATTATTTTCTATTGGAAGTGAAAGGAATGAATGTTTATTTTTGGCCTATGTTGTAGTATAGGAACCCAGCAAATCCCTTGGCCCATTATGATGAGACAGCTGAGGAATTACTACATCAGTGTGATGGGAAAATTGATGCTGTAATCATTGGAGCTGGAACTGGAGGGACAGTGACTGGAATTGGAAGGAAACTGAAAGAAAAATGCCCATCTTGTCTTATTGTTGGTGTGGATCCTGAAGGCTCCATTCTTTCTCCAACTTCATCTGACAATGAGGCTGGATTTTATGAAGTTGAAGGCATCGGATATGACTTTATTCCAACAGTGCTTGGTCTGTTCCAATTTCAATTCTTGCCTAGAATTCTTGTGAATGAAAATGATGCATATGCAGCAATTTCATTGGCAAGAGAATTCAAGAATCCGGCCTATAGTATATATATTATAATCTCTTGCAGATCGAAATGTGGTGGACAAATGGTACAAATCCACTGACCGTGAGAGTCTCTTGATGGCTCGAGAACTAGTACGAGAAGAGGGACTTCTCTGTGGTATACTTTTCATGTTGTTCATAATCTGCAAGTATTTATTCTGTCTTTAGCTGTTTGGGTAAAGGCAAACATGAGAGTAGTAGATAGGAATATTCATTGGGTTTATTCACAAATAGAGGGTGGGACAAGATAATGTAGACTGGTTTATACAGAGCTAATACAACATTCTGATTTAAATCTTGGGTGTATCAACAGCCTATCAAAACATTGAAAATAGTGAGAGTGAAAATTGTACAATTTCCATAGTTACTAACCTGCAGACGTGAATAGTGTATTATGATATATCCTGCAATATTTTTGTGATTTATCATATAATTTCTTACATAGCAATTCTATGCCTATTTTGCCTCATCCTGTGTGTTCTCAGATGAAAATTATTTTTTTCTGTCTCCTATTTTCAATTATTTTTACCTAATGCTCTCTGGAGGCAACAACCAATATTTTCTTCAATCTCCTAAGATCTCATGATATAATGTGAAAAAGTTTATATGAATAGACTAATACTTCTATGTACCACAGAGACATATTTCTCAATGACATGTTCTATTTCCACCAATGAATCACACTCATTCTTTTGGGTGCACAACTGATACTGGCTGTATCCTGCACACCCATGTGTCACTTCCATAAATACATTTGCTTGGCATCGTTACCCTGATCTAAGCTAGAAATTATATTTATTCTATAGAAAATGCAAGATAAATAAATTTAGTGAGAATGAAATTATAACACAAAATTCCAGAATGTGCTATGATGTAAATTTTCAGGCTACTCAGAACTCAGAGGCTTGATAACTTAAGAGACTGCATTGTGGAACAGAGACCAGAAGGCTACTCCATGATGCCCCTTTTTTTCTTCTGTGTTTCAAATGCCCACTGTTTTGTCTGCCTCAAAGGGTATCACACAAGGTTCAAGTGGTTTCAGAAGAATTGTAGGGATTTTCCTTGTGCACTTGAAATAAGCAAAGCTTTAGGGTATGAAGTTAATATCGCAGTAATCCTGAGTGTCAGGAGTTATATTACACAATCATAAGGAGATTGGTGCACATACTTTACCCTTTACAAATAAAATCTTCCAAACACCTGTCTTGCAGGCAGCATTGATATGCTTCATGCTTTACAGCTGCCCCTGTCATCATTGTCAGGATTTTCTGGAGGATAAGCTTCAATAGCATTCGCTTATTTGTCTTTTAATGCAGCAATTTTCTTTGTTTGTAATTGCACAACCATGCTCTTTGAGTGTTTCCAAAGGAAATAATTTGCTCCTCATAACTTTGAGAATTGCAATTGCCAGGTGATGTCATGAAAACTAGAAATGATGATCCCAGGATAAAACAGGGTCATTGCATACTGGATTGGATGGCATGTTGCATCATTCTTTTGGAATTGTACATCCCGTGTAAGAAGGCTTGAATGGACTTGAATGTGAACTACATGATAGAGGATGTTTCACATAAATTTTTTGTGACATGTATGAACAAATCTCTCAACTGTGTAGGGTAACTTCTGACACTCAGGATTATTGAAAGCATATTAACTTCATTCTGCTAAGTTTTGTTTATTTTTAATGTACAATTCATGGGTTATTGCATTCCCTACACTTCTTTTGAGACCGCCCATAATTTTTTACATTCTATTTGCTTTTGAAATATGCAAATTCACTAGAAGGGAATGAGTAGTGCTGAGTGAAAGAAATACATTTTAATTCATGGGTTATTCCACAGGTAGATGTCCCATGCTATGCATTTTGAAACAAGTAGGATAGATGAGACAGATGAGAGATAGACAAAATCCAATTTCCCCTTTGTGCCTAAATCCATCCCTTGCTTGGATTTTTGAACTTGATGGTTTTGGGTCGTGTGTTGTTTGAGAGGAAAATTCATGCACTGCCTGATCACATTTTGGGACTGGATATTGGTATCCTTTGGTTGAAAAAGGCAGATTGCTAGCTAAACTGAATTAAATGTAATCAGGGGTAACCTTAATAGCAGGGTTGGGATTAGTCCCACTTATCCTACCAGTAAGATAAAGTTTGACCATTCCACTGATCACTACAGGCACTGGTTATTAAACTACTGATCACTGTAGACACCACTTTGTGACCAAATGCTACAACCCAAATGTAATCAGTGAAGAAGCCATGTTGCTAGCATAAAATTGCTAAGATGGATTAATAGAGATAAATGGAGTTATAATCCACACCTATATGGTGCTGTGCAGTTATTGAAGGATGAGATAAAGAAAAAATTTGATGAAATTTTTATTACTTGGGAGGCATGGGGGACAATAAAGCTTATTTTCTTGAAAAAAAAATCTGGGTTTTAACAAGCTAAAGGCTCAAAGATGTTGCCAGAGTGTACAGAAAGAGGAAATTGGACAATTTTCTGATCATACCTTAACACGTTGGCGACAATGTGTCCTGATGCCAGGATGCAGATTTTTTTTCAATGAATACCCTCTGGAACTGTTGAGAACGTTCCAGAAGATTATGATTTCGTAATTACAGATAAAAATTCCAAAAAATTCAACATTAAAAAAAAAACTCGGCAAAAAAAATGTTTTCTGGGACCATGCATCCTGATGGCAGGACGCATTTTTTGACAAAAAAAATGCGCGTGGTCCCACGTGGCGGACAAGCAAAAATAGGCTGGTCATCAACGTGTTAATAGACTTCAGCATTTGAGAGATACTTGGAAAGAAAGAAATTACAAATGAAAAAATGAGGAACTTGGCAGAAAAGCACAAGCTTATTGATAATGTAATATGTTGGAGAAGGAAAATATGTAAGTTTGCCTAACCTTTATTTAGGAGATACAGTAGGTGGAAAAATAAGTTTTCAAGTTGAAAAAATAGCAGGGTATTAGGAAGCAGCAAATTCAAGGATGGGCACCATCCTTGAGTGATGTGATAGTGTAGATGAGGAGAAAATGGAAACTGTGCCAGGAAAGATTTCCATAAATTTCATTGGTTTGGCTGATTTTGGGGGGAAAAAAATGTTTCTTTTTTTCAACGTCAACATGGGCAACAGGAGAAAGAAGAGTATAAAAAACTTTAACAATACATTGCTATGGCAACTGCATCCAGAGGGAATGGGAAAAAAGTGACAGTAATATCTGCTGTTTTTTGCAGAGGTCACTATGGGAATGGCTAATTCAAAAGAAAAACTAATTCCAAAGAAAAAAAGGGATAAGTTTTTAATGACCAAGAAACTTAAGGATGGTTGCATGATGTTGATGTTGATGTTGATGATGTTGATGATGGAATTGGAACTTTTTCAGATTTCTATAAACATTAAGGGTTGGGATGATATTTGAAAAAGTGAGTTCTTCAACAATATTTGGTGTAATGGGAATTACCCAAAGGTAGGAAAACAATCAAGTAAAGGTTGTTATGAACATTGTTAGGTTGGGTAGAACCTTAGGTTGTTATGAACATTGCAATTGGAATGAACAGAGAGAAAAAGGGACTAACTGATCAAATTCTGCCATTCTACCATTTTCCCATGGGTCTCAATGGGAATGGCATGTTAGCCTGGTGTGATGAGAGGGCCCTAACTCACTAGCTGTGCAGCCATCTTACTGAATCAATCGATAACTGGAGTTCAGCATTTAAATATTTTATTTTGCTGTAAATTGCACAATTACTCTGCTATAAGTCCATGATAATGAATTGGCTTGCTCATGCTTAATGAATCTATAATCAATCTGCATACATAATTGGAAATGGTAAGGTAAATGATAATAAGGGTGTCTACTAATCTATGCAGATGGTAATATTGACAGTGAAATTCATAGGTTACTCTTGCCTTTTCTCAAAATGAGATTTTGTGGAGATTGAATGAGATAATTGTTGCCTGACTATGATGAAGGCACTACATGCTACAATGCTCTTGCATTCAAAATTTGATGAACCAACCTGTAACTCAAACATGCAGGATTGTTCTGATGAAGCTAAGCAGGTAGGATGGCTTGACAGAAATTAGAATTAGGTCATTTTGATGAAGGCAAAAAAGTGGAATAGCAAAGAATAAAAGACATGTTGGAATCTTAATTCCAGAAAGCCCCATTAGCACAATGAGGAATAAGTTTAAGGTTTAAGGTTTTTTAGGGGACATCAAGAGGTATATCCATCCATTATGATGATGTTCTGGGTTGAGGTCAAGTGTAATTTTGAGAACTTGAGATGATAAAAATTATAATTGCATTATTCATGGATCATCCTGTCATTGCAAGTTTTCAACCTATTCATCTTCATGACAACAGAGACAAAAAATAATGAATTAGTTGTGTGGATCATCATCCAATCAAAATATGGAGGATTCTCTGACTCCCAAATCAGCAAAGTTTTGACTACTTCTCCTTACAGGTGGGAGCAGTGGAGCAGCATGTCATGCTGCAGTTGACTTTGCAAGAGGCTTAGATTCTGAGAAGAGGGTTGTTGTCATCCTTCCCGATTCAGTCAGGAATTACATAACAAAATTTCTCAATGACCAGTGGATGGTCGAGAGAGGTTTTATTGATGACAAGTGCCTCAATGTCAAGCAGCACTGGTAAAGCACATCATTATATTCTTCCTAGATTGTTGCACCAGCAGGAGGTAGTGCATGTTTAATGCATCTTCCAGGTGGTGGGATAAAAAGGTCAATTGTTTGAGCTTGAAGGCTCCAATGACAGTGCTGCCTGGTGTAAGCTGTCAAGATGCTGTTGAGATCATGGACTCAAATGGATTTGACCAGCTCCCAGTGGTCGATGAAGCTGGGTTTGGAATTGACCTTTTTATTTGTCTATATTGTTCTATTCATGCTTGATATTGCAGTTTCCTCATATTCATGATGATTTAATGGCTCCAATAGAGAGGTGAAAGGGATGGTGACTTTGGGTAACCTAATGGCCAAGTTACTGGCAGGGAAAGTGGAGCCACAGAGTCCTGTAGCTGAAGTGCTCTACAAACAGTTCCACAAAATCACTATGGATACTACATTGGTTCATCTCACCCGCATCCTTGACAAAGATCACTTCGCTCTGGTTGTGCATCAGCAGCAATGCTGTGTGTATCAGTGCATTCCATATTTCAATTAGGATCTTCCCTTTGTATTCTGTATGGTAAATAGACTTTTGGTTCTGTTCAGCAGTTAGGGACAAGAGCACTGTGACAAGCAAGGAGGTTATCACTGGGATCGTATCACAGATTGATCTCCTGTCATATATAACATCTGAGGAAAAGGCAGCCCAGGCCACCAATGTTAAGGAGAACCTCAAGGAGTCCTAATTTGCAAGCTCTCTTCTCTCCAGTCCTCATGATTCTGACACTCCTTACTCACACTGAGCATACTTTCTGCATTCCTAATCAAGGTGTTGCTTTTCAGTCCTCAAGATCTGAGTATTCTTTCTTTTTTTTCAGTGTTTGTGCTGTATTTCAAATATTCCAGCATGTTATTTGCTCTTCGGCTTCATCTTGGTGTTTCTCAATTTTCTTGGGGATATTCATCTGAACAATGGCTGCATGTCATCCCTTGCATATATTTCCTTATTGCTTTACAATGCTTATTACATTCCTTTGCATGTTTTACAGAAATTCATGTCAAGATAAAACTGATTCTGGTGAAAGTTGCATTGCCATTTGTATGAGCACAAGTGCCTGAATGATTCTTTTTCAGTATATAGGGCTCAGCAAGGGTTATGAACCCAATGTAATGGGAACCTTCAACAACTAGTTTATTGTACAAATTTTGCATATTATAGTGCATTAGGTACAGAATAAAGTATATTGGGTACATTTCAGAGAACAGTACGTCTGTTTACCTGGTTAACGTGGAGTTGCCAGTGGTGGTATTTTTCAACAAAGACATTGCTTATCTTGTGGCATAACACAATTAACACTCCTTATAATGCAGTCCAACAGTTCCATTGTGTATGAAGGCTTTGTGGAGTAAAAATCTGCTTTGTTTTAGCCCCTAAAATAAAAATCCAGGGGAATGAAGTCAATCAGGTACATTATACTTCATTGTGTATGTACTTATGCATAGCCCTGTATACCCTGTCAGGTTTTTTCAATAAAAACTTGTGCACAACTTCTATTTACTTGCTTCAAAAATAATTAAACTTTGAGGGAGGCCTCATTTTCTTCTCTCTCAAGTGCATGAATCCCTTGCACACCGTGTATAGATATTACAAATCTTAAATTTGAGGATTTGGAAAACTTGTCTGGTTGCCATCTCATCGCTTCTGGAGGTCAATACACTCTGCCCTAAATCACTTTGCGAAGACATGCCCTACGTAGGCTCCATGTTACGCTTTTGCTTTTGCGTGAATAACCTACGTTGGCCCAACGTAGGTTATTCACGTTGGCCCATGTAAAAATGACCGTTGGAAGATGAGGAATACTGACGTCCCGCCAATGTCCATGGGATATCCGTATGGAACGTGAGATCAGGAGTCAGATCAGGAGAGTTAGTGATATCAAGAGGCGATTTCGCCCATTTCTATATCACGTGTCGAGGTCGAGCGTTCCTTAATTTTAGGGTAGGCCTAACCCTCAAAGCTAAATATTTTTGTATTTTTGTTTTGGTATTTTTTTTTTTTTTACTATCCTAGTTGCTTACTGTCTAGTACCTACGTCAACATTGCCCCCCACCTTTTTGCCTGTCCATGAAAGCATCTAGTTTCTTCTTAAAGATAGTCACAGAAGGGGCAGCCACTACTTCGTCATCTAACGCATTCCACGCGTTCACCACTCTGCAAGTAAAGAATTCCTGTCTCGACCTGAGCCGCACCTGCGGTTTGCGCAACTTAAGTCGGTTACCTCTCGTTCTCTTGCTGTCATCAAACTGGAAAAACCTACCACA